GTGAGATGTAGACACTGCTATCTCCTCAGTACTTAGAACAGTGACTAGGACATAAAAATGGTTTAATAGATGAATAATATGGGCTAAAATCTTCATCAGTCAGGATAGACTTGGTTAAGCTGAAATAACAAATAGCTCTAAAGTCTCAATTGCTTAAAGAACAAACTATTGCTTATTCATATGTACATCCATTATGTGTTGGTATGGGAAATGGGCGGCCTCTCCTCTTTGTTGCCATTCATGGATCCAGGCTGAGAGTGCAGCTAGTCCATGTTCAAGACACAAAAAAAGATCTGAGGGAGGAGGGTGCTTCAACCTTAAATGTCCCAACTTTAAAGCAGTACCTCATTGGCTGAAAGTTTATGGTCCACCCAACCATGAAGGATTAGGAAGTGCAAAGGTAGAAAGGCCCAAACTTCTTTGAGATGTGTGAAAGTAGTTTACTTTTATTTGGGAGAATGGACTAAATTGTCTTAAATATCAATGTGTATTGATTCTTATATTACCATAATTAGCTGTAATGTAATCAACTACAATTTATGCAAAAGAAAAAAATGGAAGTGTTGGTATTCTTGTTTTATTACATACATACATATAAATTCACTTAATCCTTAAAGGGCAAGTCTTCCTTCCAATCTTTTTATTTTATTTTTTAATTTTAATTATCAGCAATTCCTATTTGAGTGCCTTGAACATAATCCATAGAACATGTTTCAAGTTTGTTAAAATGAATTGAATTCTACTTAAGGAACTATATTGAGCCTTAATTAAATCTATAGAAATGAAGAAAATAATGGTCACAGATTTTCAAAATGGTAGCCTGTATTAGCAAATTGAACTTCCTTTTCATTTTAATATATTGGCATAGCAAGAACAATCATAGGGCAAAGACCAGCCTCCACATTGCTGTTTCCAAATGCCTGGAATGGACTCAATATTGCCTCTTAAAAAAGTGAGTAATTTTTTGAGAGTGTAATAATGTTAAATATAACATAATGGTTAGCTTCAGGTAGTTTTTTTCTCCACAAATTGTTTTATCCCAGTATTTAATAGATGGGTTCCTAAGCCAATCACTGGGTTTGAAACCTTCTCAATCACTTGCCTTCAGCAAATTTTTTAATCTCTCTGTCCTCTCTCAAGTTCACCATTCATGAAATAAAGATAATAGCAATACGTTTTTGGGTGAGTTAATAGGATTAATAGTAGGGTCAGTAAAAAGGATTAAATTACATACACCTTACAGGAAACATACTATGGAGTAGTGCCAACACATGGTGAAGGCTTAACAAACATTAGCTGTTACTACTGATGTTATTATTATTTTAGTCTTGATATTGCTCAGTCTGTGTCAACTTTCTATATATATCCACCAATACAACAATAATGAACCATAGAAAGGAAACAAGCAGTATCAAGTAGAACTCAAATAGACTTATTTTTAATTGTAAGGTTAGTAGTCACTATTATCTTGAAATTTGCTTATTGGTCTGATTCACTTGTGACTTAACACAAGGAGCTATTATGTGTGCACTGTGCAATGAGAAGAACTAGTGGGAAAGACTGATGAGTCTGAAGGGCCCTCACTCTCTCATTGTTTGGTTTCTAAATATTCATTGCAGCAGCCAACCTTCTTTATAATGCCTGCAAAAAGGCAAGACAGTATTCTGAATAATTTCAAAAGGCTTTTTGAGGAGGAAAATGATAAGAATTAACTTGATTTTGAAAACAACACTAAAGACTAGATATTATAATCTTTGACCATGGAGATCACATCCATCGTGTTCTCTGCCTTGTCCCTAGGCATCTGAACATAGTAGGTGCCTTATAAGGGATTTGTGAAATAATTGAATGAGTATTTCAGAGAATCATTGCTTGTGCAATGCAGTCTATAAGTGATCTGACATTGTTGGTATTTAGGCCCAATCCAAACACTAGATTTCCAAAGAAGAGAGTGTTCAAACCTGAGTACCAGAAACAAAATATTGAACTTCTGAGTGTTTCCTCTTCCCATCCCAGCATTTTACTTGAGAAGAGGGGACATTTAAAAATAACACTTTCAGCGTATTTATTTGTCAAAACCCAGACTTCAATGCTGAAAATGACATATTTCTATTTATTAAACATGTTAAAAAAAAAAAAAAAGCTCAGAAGGTTTTTATTGGGCTTATGCAGATAAACATTTATATTGTATTCCAGATATACCATATTCCCAGATTTAGCTGCCAAAACATTTGAGAGACTTGAATTTATATAAACTTACCAATATTTTTTTGTTAATTTATTGGTTATAAGAACATTAAGGGGATAGAAATGGCTCATATTTCACTTTCCCATTTACTGTTAGAAGTTGAATACCCATTAACGCTATCAATATTTTGCAGAATGCCTTTTGCTTTTGCATCTCCTTCCTTCTTCACTCTTTTGGCAAATGAGCATTTTATTGATACAATCTCTAACATAACGTACCAGGCACTACAGTGTTACAGTGCTGCTTGCCTTGTGGAAGAGTTCGTGGGCAGGCATTACAACCCACTGGAGCTGTAATAGAGGTAATGTCACTTTAAGACATGTGATACTTTACAGAGGAGGGATGTATTGAAACAGACTCCTGCTACTTACAGCACCGTGTAGCAGCCCGGCTCCTGCATTTTGCTGCCTACTCTGCCCTGAACGCACTGGAGAGGGGACGGTCCGTCATTAATTATAAACTGATTCTCATCAGGAAACTGCACATTATCTCACCATCACTTCAAAGGTCTCCTCAGGCAGAGGGGACTTCAGGAGATGACTTAAAGGTGAAAATGGCAAGGTTTTCAGCCTTCAAACCTGGGCTCCTTTTTTGACAATACAGCCTGAATGAACCCGATGTCTCCTTCATTGTGGAAATAGCATCAAAAGAGAAGAAACATTTTTTTTTAAATCTTGATAAAGAAGACTATTGGAAGCTCTCAAAAAAAAAAAAATCTCGAATTGTGGCACAGATGGGTTTTAGAAAGTGGTAGAGCTTTCCAATGAACACTAACAGAGAGCTCTGCTCTTGGCTGGATTTCTCAGGTAAGAAGCCCTTTTTAAGGATTTAAGCTTCAGAAAGCAGATTTGTAACCTATTCAGTCATCCCTAGGGAACTCGGTAAGGTTGCATGCATTATTTGGGGAAAGCACCTATCAACATAGAGACAGCCTCTTGGTAAGAGAGTAGCAATCGGAGCGATATGTGGGCACCTTGAAAGTAATGCTGAGAATGAAAGAAAGTTAAATTTAAAAGAAAAAGAAAAAGAAAGAAAATCCTGTAAAGGTCATGTCACAGTAATCTTTCTGAGTGCCAAGATCAAGTGGGTGATAAAATGAACAAGAGAAAGCAGGCACTGAACAACTGTGAAATTTTGATTGTGGTAGGCTTTTTTCCCCCCCCCCCCCAAGTTTAGATGAATTCCTGCTGCATTTTAGCTGAAACCCACAAGCAGTCAATGCATGCCACAGTCACCTCTGTTTTGTCTTCCTGTAATTGTAAGGATATTTTGCAAAGACCCCAAAATGCATTCATTCAGGATTCCCAGGAGGCGTATTGCTATGTAAATGCTGAAGAGAGTGAACCTATGTTACACTGATAGTTCCGGAGACAATGAGCTAAATCTGCTGTACACAAAAGTAAACAGTGGGCAGCGAAACAATTAGGAAGCGAATGGTCCATCTGAAGCCCAGGCTGGGGCAGGAAAAGCGCCAGGCTGCTGAAAATAATGTTTTCCTACTTTGCAGTTAATTATAGCTGTCACCATTTGTCTATTATAGTTCTAAAACCTTCTCAAAGACATCTCTCCCTTAATACCCACAAATTATCTTGTGTTATGTCTGTATACACACACATACAATGCATATTTTTGCTTTCTAAAATTACAGTTTTTTGAGAGAGGACAAATTTCTATGAGTAAAAAAGCCACAATGGGAGGTCACTAGCAGGCTTTAAATACATAGCTGAAACACTTGAAGTGTATGAATTGACAATGGGAAATTAAAAAAAAAAAAAAAAAAAAAGGAAAAAAAGTAAATTTGGTTCTAAAGCTCTCTCTACCTAAGGGAAAAGCATACACTTCACTGTATTCCTATGTATAAAATGCTTCCATGTCACTGGCTGAGTGAGGATGATGTTCAAGTTGATTAATTTGGCGTTAGGAAGTGCAGCAGAAGGTGTTGTGTGAGAAATTGGACATTCTGTAGCTGAGCCTTTGCAGCTCTAAGATCCTTATGGGTGCAGAGAAGACTGTCAAAGTTTCGGTGCCTGTGAAAAGGTGTGTGCTCGTCCATAAAAGCACCCACCACCTGTATATGCATATTCATCAGCACTGTACATCAAATGCCACTGTGGGATCTGAGGAGGCAAAGCAATATTGTAAATTATGGGTTGCTCTGTGGCAGGCGCACAGATCTTGCATGTGAAACTCATTCTGGCTGAAGACAATTCCTTCTGATTTTAAGTCCAGCCAGAAAGACTGATTCCATCAGGAGATTACAGCATGCCTCTGAGAAATGATTACTTAGTTTAGAAGATAGCATAGTGATTAAAAATTCATGACTGTAGAATTAAAAAAAAAAAAAGAATCCACTCTTTCCTTTCATTATGTCAGACTTGCAATGAAGTTAGAATGAGCAGGAGCATGCAGCTTCCAATGTCTGGAATAACGGTCCCTTACGGATCAGGGTGTAAAACAGGATGCTTATTTCAGATACTAGGTTTCAAACCGCCTATGCCATAGGCCAACTGTAATTTATTTTTGCATTTTGGCAATTCTTGGAGACAGGTTTTGCTAAATTTCACAAATGCATGCATGGTCTTCTGGAGAGTGCTTTCCTTCAGCCCTGCTGCATGCATGACCTCTGCTGGGCCTTTTTCTCCAGCAGCAAAGGGGCATGACGCCTGAGACCCCCTTCTGTCCTCAGTGGGACTGAGTGGGCTGGGGCCTGGAGCGGGGGCTGACCCTCCCTGTCTGCTGTCCCCTTCAGAGCATGGCGGTGGTCTCGGCGATGTCCTGGGCCCTGTACCTGTGGATAAGTGCCTGTGCCATGCTGCTGTGCCACGGAGCCCTCCAGCACACTTTCCAGCAGCCCCACCTGCTCAGACCAGGTAAGCAAGGCTGGCTGCAGCCCCAGGCCCGCCGCTGTCTCCTCCACAGGCGGCGAAGGCAAGGGACTAAGGTGCTGTAGCCTGGGCAGCTTGCCCCTGAATTTTAGGACATGTTGTTGGCTAGAGGCTTTGGGAAAAGGGGATCACAAAAATGGCTCAGAGGTATTTCTGTTAACTTCTCAAAAATGGAGTTTTTCTCTGAGAGCCACACACACACACACACACACACACACACACACACACACACTGACAAGTCCTGTGTGGTTGTATACTTTGGCCAGAAATAGAATATTCTGTAAAAGGCGGGATAATTTCCAAGACTTGGAGATTGTTTTTATGGGGGACAAAATATGATCTTTGCAACTGACAAAAATAATGTGTGTGTATTCTTGGATGCATTGTTATCTAGTATAGATATTATCACCTAGGTGTGTGAGGGGCTCAGGATTTTATGGAATATTCGTGCCAAAGCTGACTTCGGAAAGAGTTTGCCAATGAAAAGGAAATTGAAAAGTGACTTACTCTTTCTCCTCTGGCATGCCCTCCTCTCTCCCTTTCTTCCCCTGCTGTTCACCAGTCTCTCCGTGGCTTCTCTCCTCCCAGCTTCGGGGACCGGCTCCCCTGAACCTGGCTGGGATTTTCCCTGTGTTGGATTTGGAGTTCTGGAAGCATTTTGCTTTCTTGATCTTTCTGTTCAAAAACATGTGTTTTAACCTGGGGTTTCTCTTCTCTGCCTCCCCGGCTTTCTCATCACTCCCCTGCGTGGTCCTCCGTGCCGCCTGCTTCTCGGAGGGAAAGACTCCTCCATTGTCCTTCGGCTGCAGCCTCGGCATCCATGGCCCGCCCTCTCCTCCCGGCGCTGCCTGGGTCGGAGCTCTGGGGACCAGTTGCGCCCGAGTTGGCGATCCCCAGTTCTCATGGCTCCGGCCCTGCACCCCCTCTCCGAGCCGCCGCCTCCGGCCCGCCCCCGCCCGGCCTCCTCCGGGTCCCGCCTCCGCCCAGCTCCGCAGCAGCTCCGATTCCGGCGGTCCGGTCCTCCCGCAGCCCCGGCCCCGTCGTCTGGGCGGCGGCCAGAGGGAGCGGGGCGGCAGGTCCTCCCGGGCCAGCTGCTCCTCGGAACCTGGGGCGCGGGTGGAGGGTCGGGGGCGCGGGAGGAGGGGTAGGGAGGTGGGGGCTGAGATCCGCGCGGCCAGCCTGCAGGTGCGGGCGCAGCCACCTCAGAGCCCGCCCCGGTGCGGAGCAGGGAGGGCGGCCCCGCAGGTGGACCTGGGTCGCCTGGCGCGCCCGCATTCCTGCCGCGGGGGTCCCCAGCCTGGAGCGGCCGGCACCCAGGCTCAGGTGCCAGGGGAGGAGCCGCGAACGGGGTTTGAGAGCCTCTGATCAGTTAGTCACGGATCCCTTCTGCCAAAAAACGTCTTTGACTTGTTACATAGTCACACACACAGCGCGGGGAGTCTGCCTCCTGGTGCTAAACACTCAACAAACACTATGCGAGTTTCAGCTACTCTCAAGGCTAATTCCTATTGTTCCGCTTGGCCCTTCTACCTGTCGGTGCACCTCCCTCCCCCAACTCCCTCTCCTGCCCCAGGGATGGGTGACAGACCACACAGCGGTGATGGCCATTGGCGGTCAGGCCAGTCTATTTCCCTGTGAGCCTGGTCCCCAGGGAGGCTGCACAGCAATGTCCCTCAAGGCAGAGAATAATGCCAAGGAGCCTCTGAGGAACTGGCAGTCCAGGGGCAAAATTTGTGAAAACTTTCAAGTTTTGTCAATACATGGACTCAATGGACCTGCAAAGCCATTCTGAAAGGGGCTTGGCAGATGGGCGGTGTGGGGTGTGGGTGACATATGGTGATACGGAGCAAAGAACTGCCCATCGCCATGTAACATAGGTGCCCTGACCTTGGGCAAGTCCCTTTTCTTCCTGGGCTCCATTTCCTTCCCCTTTAGGATGTTTCGGGTGTAAATGGAATAATCTCAGCCAAAGTGCTTTGTAACTTGTAAAGCTCTTCACAAATATCAGGAATTACTGACATGGTCCCACGTGACAGCTGAGGACAGAATGCTAGGGATGCTGATGACCAATATTTGCTGTTCACACATCTGGTCCATCCACATAGGTCAAAGCTTGGTTTTGACTTCTGCTGTTGTTTGAAACTGCATGGTGCCTGGCTAGAATAGTCACCAAGTGCAATGTGTCTTGCTTTATTCTAGATGCATACAGTCATGAAAAACAGCACAGTTTTGCAGTAAGTGCCACATACACTGTCTCTGGTAATCAGTTAATCTTTGATTTTTTATTTATATTTTTAATGAGGGGTTATGACTATGCTACTTAATAAACTCATGTCTTTATGAGGCTTATTATAAAAATGCTATAATTTTAAACTCAGAAACACATCATTAGGTTCTGGCTGACATGAAGCTCGGTATTAGTTTTCTCATTGTCTACCCTTAGAAATTGCTTATGATCACCAATGCGTACTGTTACGTCATCAGTTTGTACTACAAATACCCCAGGAAGCCAGCGCGGAAACCAATTTCAACTCCAAGTGCTTCTACATTTGAGACTCATTTCAGACTCATTGATGAAATGAATAAACCATACATATTCTTTCCAGATACAGAAAGATTAAAACGATATTAAATTGAAAGTCCAATGTACGTAATATGTTTATTCAACTTCCTTGGGGTTTTAAGAATAGCTGAAAAGATTAAAGCAATAGATCTTGAACATGGCAATAGTCTAGATTATTTCATTCAGAAATGGTCTTCTTTAATATAGTCTTCTGTTCTGATTTTAAAAGTAAACCTATGGTTTTGGTGATGAGAGCTGGGATGTCTCCCTTTGGGGCCTTAAATCTCCAGGGACACTAATGAAATGTGTATGAAAACAAGAGAGAAATCAGGCCAGTTCTCTGTGACAGCCCACCTCTAAATGAGCAAATAAATAAACAAATAGCTGGATAAATGAGCAGAAAAGGAAAAACATAATCTCATTTAGTCAAATCAGTTCAGACCAGTGACATGATGAGAAAAAATGAGCCCCCGGCAGACCCTGCGCTTTGCCACATTTGCCTAAGCTTGAAAAATCGCCTCTTTGATGGAGCAGGAGCAGGCGGACACCCTGTGCATACCAAGCGCCAGGAAATGAGAGAGATGACAGATCTTTCACTCAGGGCCCCAGCGGAGGGCCAGGGGGCTGTACAGCTGCCTCCTCAGTGCCCGCCCCACCGGCCCCTCTCAGCCTCTTGCAGGCCCCGCCATGCCATGCCCATCACAGGGGGATTGATGGCGCTCTGGTCCCAAGCAGCCAATCTCAGCCTCTCCAGAAAAATGGAATTGTTGCGATGCTCCTCTCTGTTCGGAGTGTGTAGCACCTTAGGGCACCAGCCAGCCCGGGTCTTTTGAGGAAATGGCTGAGGTTTGGGCCAATTTTTGCTGTCAAACAAGGCACAGGGGCGGTGTTTCCTCAGACCGCGGGTTTGGGATCTGCCTCCTCGCTACAGTGGGATTGTACACACAGAATGAGAATCTGTAAACTGAAGAGCGGACAGTTTTAATGTGTTCCCCTGCAGTCCATAAGCACTTCCTATTTTTCGTCCTTACAGTGTTAGGAAAGAACCATTTATTTTCCGTTACTCACTGGCTAAGGAAGATTGAAACAGTCAATCAAATGAAAGTGAATTTTGAAGTTAGACCAATGAGTGAAATGGGCGATAGATTAACAGATTTGTAATTGCAATAATTTACTATTTGACTAAATCGCATTTTTATTGCGGGAGTAATGTAGAAAATTACTATTACCACTTGAAGATCGTTTACGCCTATTTTATAGACAGTACAGCGAGAAGGAGGGCACTCCACTGGGAAAGGCAGCCGAACCAATGGATCCTTCACAGAGGGTTCTGCTGTCCAGGTGGTTAAAATAGCTTCAGGTCCTTCTAATCGCCAGGTGTTGGGAAACAGATAAAAAAGTATGAATGGTTTGCTAAATGTAACTTTCTAATTTAACATTAGTTTCCTCCTTTATGAATATATGAATTATGACAGCAATTTAAATGGTTACTTAATTTCAAATTTGAGGGTGTGTGGGTGTCTGTGTGTGAAGGGTTGTCCTTGAGACTTAATAAAATATGGATAATTTCAAAATACTTTAGTGAGAAAAGATCCTTGAGAGTCTGTAGTAATTTAAAATTATGTAGATAAATTACATGAGACAAGAAGTTATAAGAGCCTAATGAATCATTTATTCTGCAGTCACTGCTATTTTATTGACAGGGATGTAGGGAAAATGATGTATAAAAAGATTGCTCTGAATAGAATCATCTGTGTAACTTGCACTTAGCCTGATTTAAAGCTATATTAAGCAAACTCTATATTTAGAGGTATGCATTTATGGCTTAATTATTACACACTAAACATTACCATTCATGTTAAAGTGTTTTTTAAATTAAAATATTAAAAAGCATTGTTTCATACTTATTTTTACTTCATTGTTCCTTATTACTTTATTGAAAACTGCCGAAGGCTTATGCATTAGAATGCCAAGGTGCATTGCATTAAGAGTTGTTTTAGCAATTGTAATAGAAATAGAAATAGTGAGGACAATATTGACAGCTGCTGGCTTTTGAAGGATTTGGACTCGTATGAGGCTGCTGAATTAGTGAATCGGTGTGAAGTTTAGAGCAGACAGGTTGTTATTTGGTGAGAGCTGATGGTTGTAATAATCCATTGATCATCTCTTTAATAGCACTGAACTCACCCCAGAGGCAGAGGGCAGCTATGAACATTTGATAATACCCCAAATTTCAAAACCAAGTTAGAGATGCAAATAAAATTTTTCTGTCAAACTGAACTTAGAATTATTTCAGAGCTATGTAAATGCTGTTTGTTACTCATGTGAATTCAATCCTGTGTCCTCAATTCATAGGTAAGGGAAGCAGATATTATACCGTACTACAAACACATATTTGGAAGTTGCACAGATGATCATTAGC